CTCGGCGCACCTCCACATATACATATTGGTTCATCTCAGTTACAGTTAAACTTGCGAGTTTGGAGAGTGTGCCTGCTTGTGCGTTTGACCCCTTGGGATCAGCTCAACTTCAAAAGTTCTCATCTTCGTAATAATGGTTTTGATCTTTGCGAGGTAAGCTATCATTGAGGGCTCTTTGGCCCCATATTCGCCTCGAATCTGATATGTTACGAGCTGAGAGTATGTTTTAAGACAGACATGTTTGGCTTCCAGAGAGATGCAAAGTTCTAGGCCAGCAATTGCTGCCTCGTATTCAGCTTCGTTGTTCGAAGCCTTGAATGAAAATTTTAACGCATACTCAAAGGATTTGCCTTCGGGAGAGGTTATCACTACCCCTGCCCCCGAACCATTTACGGTGGAGGATCCATCCGTAGAAACGGTTGATATTTTCTTTTCTTTGTCTAGCATCTCCTGGTACAAGCATTAAGTCAGGAAGTTCGCTAGAGCTTGAGCCTTGATGGCTGCTCTCGGCTAGTAGCTGATGCTAAACTCAATGAGCTCAAAAGTCCACTTGGCCAACCTACCAGATTTTTCAACTTTGACGAGGACTTTTTCCAGCGGCTGATTAGTTAAGACCACTTTTTGATGGCATTCAAAGTAGGGCCTCAGCTTCCGAGAGGCTACAACTACTGCATAAGCAACCTTTTCGAGTAAGGGGTAGTGAGTCTCGGCATCCGTTAGAGTTTGGCTGACAAAGTAGATCGGATGCTGGATTTTTTTTCTTCCCTTGGCAGCACCGCACTTATAGTGGCCAGGCTTACTGCCGCGTACAAATACAGGGTTTCTTCTTCGGCTAGGCGAGCCATTGTTGGGAGCTGAGCCAGGTGCTCACAGGGCTACTTGAAGGCTTCTTTTTGCTCATCTTCCTAGATGAGCTCTTTTTTTTTCGGAAGTTTTAGGGCTTTGAAGAAGGGAAATCCTTTGTTTGAAGCTCTTGAGATGAACCTCGACAAGGCGGCCATTCTTCCGGTCAGCCGCTGAACATCCCTCTTTGTTTTCGGCTCGGGGAGACTGAGCGCTGCTTGCATCTTTGCGGGATTGGCGTCAATCCTTCTCTTGCTGACCATGAAACCAAGGAATTTCCCTAACTTTACACCAAAGACACACTTCTTCGAATTCAACTTCATTTGGTGCTTTTTCAAGGTGGCGAAGGTTTTGGCCTGGTCCGTGAGTTTAGTACAGTTTATTTTGGTCCATAATCTGGGTCCAATGATTTAATTTTTGGATAGGTTTTGAAAAGATCTTTCCAACGATATATTATAAGCCCAAATCCGAGTTGTAACGAATAAGTTAAGGTCAAAATACTAAACTGAGCCCAAACCGAACCAAAGCCCACTACCTACAACCCAATGATCATTTGGAGGGTTAAAATGATTTAATCTCATTTTTAAACAAATTAGGATTAATTAGAAGCTTCTATAAGTTTCTAAAAGATCTTAATTATCATTTTTGAAAAGATAAGATTAAAGAGTTTGAAATTGAATAAAACTCCTGTTTTTGAAAGTCCTAATTTTATTCAAATTGAAAGATGTTCAAAGATAGACAGATATTATTTTTGTGCCTCATAGATTTTATCTGAATCTTAAATGGTTGTATAGCCCTTGAAATTATCTTTCCAATGATATATTATAATATCAATCCCAAGCTATAACGGAAAAGATACAAATGAAATATTAAACTCTATCCAAAACTGACACCGTCTAACTATTTCGGCCATATCTTTTATTATACAAAATATTTTAATCTGATTCTAATTGGGTTAGAAATTAGACTTCAACATCTTTCCAACGACATATTATTTATCTTTTTTTGATTTCTTGATCAAATGATATGATAAAAACAAAAACCGCAAAAAACTACTATCTATAGAAAGAGTTTTATTCCGATTTAATTCTTATCTTTTCTTAATTCTTCGACCCTTATTTTTCCTTATAAATAGAGGTCATATCTCCCCTTTTTCAATGATCAACAATCTTGATCATCAAATCCTTCTCTCTTTCTCTCTTTTACACCAAAAATCATTATCTTCTCTCTATCTCTCTCTCTCTCTCTCTCTCTCATATTCTAAGCCTTAAACCTATATTCCTAATTACACAATTCTTCCCCTAAGCACTCCAAGGAGTCCATACTTAACCCGAGTTTCTGTCCTTAAACCAAGGCGTGAAAGGTATAAATAACTGAGGGTTTGGACCAAATCAAATCAACTTTTATTTAATTTAATTTTCATTTGATTATATTTTTTATTGAAGTTACTAACAATTTATTCATGATATAGCAATTTAAAGGAACGCGCGGAATGTGAGTAATTAATTAATTTAATTACTTATTTTATTTTTATATTGCTAGTATCATGATTAGGTTTATATATTATTTGATTTGACTAACGACATTATTGTTAAATTGCTTCCAATATTAATGTTTATTGCTATTATTATTTTGTATCACCATATAGCATGTTTAAAGGGAAGATGTAATTGAAAATCACGCCTAATAAGATAATTTGGACAACCGGTTTAGGTTCCTTTTTAATCTTGTTGTTTAATCAAGTGATCACTAATATTTTAGAATTATATGTTGCATTAATATTAAACCAATTTACCTTAATAATAGTTTGGAGCAAATTGAATCTTTGTTTGCATGCCTTTGAGATCGCAGGAATCCCTTTTCACTATAAGAATCAAGTAGAGCCAATACGGGCGAATGTGACTCCTTGACTCACTTCGTACTATCATCCCCGATCCTCCTTTCGTGGTTCTGAACCATATGAAGTAAGTAATATCATGGATTATGAATGGGGTGTAACCTTCACAGGTCAATCGTTTTTGCCTTTCGTTGTCCCTTAATCGTGGTTGCCTTTTATGATCCGTGAACGGTTTACAAGTCCTTAAAAAACTTGTTGGCGGCTCCCTACTTTCCTTGTCCCTAATCGTATATGTCAATTCCCACTTCCTATGAGTGCCAAGCATATTCATCACATGTTTTAACGTAGGCGCATTTCAAACAACGCCTACAATTTGGCGACTCCGCTAGGGAGGGTTCTTGGTAATTTATCGATTTGAGTGATCGGTATTTAATTAAGATGAGTGCGTGGATGAGACTTGAAAAATTCTTGAATTGTATTCCTGCGATTTAATTGGCATTGTCACATATGAATATGCTTTTTAGGTTACCTATTTCGCCATAATAGTACGTGTTCTATTTATGTGGCTAGCCTGGGGATTTTAAGCTCTATCAACCCGAAAAAGCTCATGGCAATAAGGGTTCATCCGAGTTTTTAAATCCACCCAAACCATGGAGTCGAGTTCGATTTCATCACGAACTCGCGGAGCCGACCGTTGGCATACACCCTCAAGGGAGGATGCCTTGCTAACACGTCCAAACTCTTAACCATGGTACCCTTTGACACCTAAATAAGCTTGACCATAATCGAACATAAAACTTGACTTTAGGTTGCGAACTTCATTGCATCATGCGTGACGATGTAATTATATGTGCATTTTCTTTATTGACTTTTTTAAAAAAAAATTTCTCTTGTTAAACCTTTTTTTTTAGAGTCAAGTCATAGATTTTTATTTTTATTTTTTTAATTTGAGTCAACCCGGATTTTTATCCCGTATCCTGCACAAGAGTCCACTTGTTTTGGTCATATCTGGAGTTCTAGAAAGAGTTATGTGCCGTTCAACCTATGGATCTGTAGCCCCAAGTTTTATCTTTCATTTGGAGCTGATTTCGTTCCAATCAAAGTTATAGATCAAAAGTTATATCCGATATACTACAGCCTGTCCAGTTTAGGTTTTTTTTAGCGTCAACTTTCTTTTTTAAAATTTTTCTTTATATCTTTTCTCGTCAAGCTAGTCTTAGCCAAGTTCTTTAATCTGTGTCAACTCGAATAACATAGGATTATAGATTTTTATTTATTTTTTTATATCCATGAGTCATAACTCTTCTAGAATTCTAGTCCTCTTCCTAGTTTCTTGTGATTTTTTGTGCTAACCTTAACATGTGTTCTTTGTCTTTGATTGTGGTTGATCTTATTTATGACGTACTAATGATTGCCAATGGACCCTTTTCACCTAGTAAATAGCATAAACATTAAAATTGGACAAAATTAATCAAGTTAGTTTGTCTTTTAGTCTTACGTGCTATTTGGTCATTGGGTCCTTTGTTTTTCACAACATCCTCATGTCTAGCCATGCGACCATACCATGAGCCTTAATAAACTCACCTAATCACACATGTTGAGTCATTGCACACACTTTGTCTTCGAGTAATGCACTATATTGTTTATGATCGTATATTAGGACCATGCATGCATCGTTTTCCGTCGTAATAGGAATGAGTGGAGTATTTCTCATCAGTTTTCAAAATTGTTTCATACACTCTTCCTTTTCAATCCGAGTATTGAGTGAATTCATTAAGTGAGTTCTTCCTTACACAGTACTTGAGTCTAAAATAACTAGGCAATAGTTGGAAGAATAAGGGGAACGTCACTCCTTCCTTCTTTCCTTCCAAATAAAGCATCAACAATAAGAAACTTTTTTCCTCAGCACGCAACAAAAAGTAACTCATAAACAGCCATGAAGACAAAGAACAATGTAAGCTTCTCACCAAGATTTCATGTTTTCTTCTTTTGTTTCAAACCCTTCACTAGTGGAAAAATAGCTATCCATAACAGGCAAAAAAGGCCTATCCGTAACGAGCAGCGGGCGTTACGTATGCTACCGTTACAGATAGCTAATGTTATTCGTAATGGGCATTTTAGCTGCCCGTTACGAATAACGGGTTATTTGTAAAGGGCATTCAACTGCCCGTTACAAATACATTTAGCCTCAATTAAAAAAAATCCCAGCATAATTTGCTGGGCTGTCAAAATTTTGTGCTTATTATATCAATGTAAATTTTTATTTAATCCACAATTTTTAATTAATACGGTTGGCCACAAAAAAAAAAAAAAAAAAAAAAAAAAAAAAAAAAAAAACAATTTTTTTTTCCTTAGAACCATGTTTGCCCCGGATTATTGAACACAAGCGCATATTATAAAATACATATGCGTTGCTGAAATCATATCCCACACCCCACAACTTATTTCACGACCCTCGCCATCCTTGAGGTTGACGTCAATTTAAAAATAATCACCGCGATAACTACGTCTAGGCCCCGTTAGATATACGGTTTCATGAGAATTGTGATATCCCAAGGTTCCGTCAAACATAACAAAATCTTCATCTTCATCACAAGCCTCGATCTTTCTTGTGAAGCCTTTGCAACAATCATCACCATAAAAACAAATGGAGGCCAAGAAAATCTCCATGTATGCACAACGATTATCGGATACATACCTAGTGAATCAAAAGTTAGTTTTACACAAACAACTTGCATTGAAACTACACTGATATAATAAGCAGTTTGACAGCTGCCAAAAAAAAAAAAAAAAAAAAAAAAAAAAGCAGTTTGAGATTTATATGTGCTTACCGATATAATGGATGATGTTTATGTATGAGCTACAATAAGAGATATAAAAAAAAAACAAGTTAAAAACAAAAAATTTTTAAAAAAAAAGAAGCTGCAGGAAGTATTTATATGCACCAACCTTTCTTTTTTTACTAGTGTCATATTGAACCATAATAACCTGAAAAATTTGTTATGTTATAAATTTCAATAGCAAATCTCAGCAAAAATCCCTCCAAACTTAAAACCTGTAAACCAGCACCCCATATCATTCGGTACCCCAGCCCCTAAGTATGCCACATATATATTTTTGTTCTTTTTCTCTCTTTATTTTCAGGGGTAAAGTAACAAGCTTGTACATATAGAAATCTAAGGACTAAGATGATCAATATAAATCACTAGCAAAAATTACATACCAGTTGGAGCTCATAAAGCAAGCACAATAAGGGAAAAAAAAAGGGGGAAATGACTGCTAAAATTTATCAGTCTCTGCCTATGCAAAAACACTAGTGAACTCATCGGTATTGGTACTGTTAGAGCTCGAATTATTAGTTCTGTTTTTTATCAGCCAAAGGGGTTTCATATGTTCACTGTTTTTTATTTTTTTTATTTTTTTTGTATTAAGCATTAATCAAGACAGTGATAGTTGTATCACACAAAGTTCACCCATTGTTGGACCTTACCGATTCAATAGAATAGCGTGTACCATTAAGACGACTCCAATCAGATATTTTTGCTCCTAAATGCAATACCATACAAAAGGATTAGTTTCAACACGTGAAGGTAAAATATATAAGAAGATACAAATTGAAGGGATTGGGATCAAACCTCTGGATTCTTTATATGTAGAGTGGTGCTCAAAGACAAGGTATAATGAAAGACATAGGGTCAAAATCACAAAGGCGCCTGCAATATGAACATCTCATGGAGGAGCAATTTCAGACAAAACTAGCATAATGATCAATGTAACTCTACACAGATTCGCCCCTGCCCAAGCACATTACCAAACTCTAATCAAAACTTTAAGCACCAAAACTTTCCCACAACTCTCAGTCGACAACATCATAATTTCAATTTCCCAGAACCCCCTAGTCAACAATTACACAAAAAATCCCCTGGCATATTTCAGTTAAACGATCAATTGAAAACCATAAACCCTGAATTTGTCAAACAACCCCAGAAAAAAGAAGAAAATCGCCTTGTCTATAAAGATTTTACCATAAAGAACCAATCTTTATATATATACTGCATAATCTTCTCAACCCAGTAACCCAATTCAAACCTCTTATAGTAACCCCATCCCAAAAAAATCATCCCATATTAGTTTAATCAAATACGACAATTAAGGGTAAAATATGAACAGAAAGAACTATGATATACCAATAAAAAATCAAAATTTAAATATCAATGCAATTTTAAGTTTAAAAATCAGCTAATTGAGCAATATAACAAATAGTTCAATAATGACCTGAAAAATTGATATTCAATAGTTAATAAATGAAAAAAAAAAAAAAAAAAAAACAGAATTAAATCAAACGAACAGTCTAAGTAACAACAAACAAAAAACAAACAATATCCCCAAAAAATTAAATCAAAATTATCAATATTATGGATGATTAAATTATAAGAATAATGATGAAAAAACGAATAAAGCATAAATTATGGCATAAATCCAAAAATTACCAGAGAAAATCGAGGAACTCATTGACGTTGACCTGATGACCGATCATCGAAGAGGAGTAGAAATTGGCGTGGGAACCAGGGTTTGATGAAGAAAAAGTTAAAAAGGAGGAAAGCTGAGTTGACTAAGCTAGATCCAGCGAGTTGGAGAATGGAGAAGCCTTAGAGCAAAATCAATAAACCCTCCGATCTAAAAATCATCAAAACCCCCAATTTCACCATTTTTTCTCTCTCCTCGTCCCATATCGCCATTTTTCTCGCCTTGTTTCATCACCAATTGAATGGGGAAGATTGATGGAGGAGAGGAGAGGAGAGTGAATGCGTGTGAAATGAGAGAAAAGAGGTGAATGACGGCTAGGTAAACCCTAATAAAAAGCCAAAGCCAAGTAACGGGCTCCTCTCATCATTTGGGCCACGCTCAAGCAGTTGTATCGGGCTCAATATGCCCGTTACATGTAATATAATATCCGTAACGGGCAAATGATGACGGTTACAACTAAATAAGTATTCGTAACGGGCACTATTTTGCCCGTTACGAATAACTAAGTATTCGTAACGGACACTATTTTTTTCGTTACGAATATATTTAATGTAACGGGCATAGCTTTGCCCGTTACAAATAGCCTGTTACGAATGAGATTTTTTCCACTAGTGCTTCCCCCTAAAAAGTCTAGCATGGGTTCTCCTTATCCATGTGTCTATGTGTCACACTTTTTACCTTCTTCATAAACGAGCATCTCTTTCTTACATCGATCATGTGATTAGCAAAAAAAAAAAAAAAAAAAAAATCAATTGTCGTACCGAACACAAGGTATACCAATGATTTGAGGTACCTTTACAACCCATTCATTCCCCATTAACCACTCAATCACAAATCCATTTCTTCATTAACCACTTTGAGCCTCGTCTAATGATTGACCTTTTTTATTCAACCTACATTCACTTAACCCTAGGATGGGAAGGTGTGTAATTATATAACATTCAAAAAGCAAGTAAAAAAAAACAGCAAAACAACAATAAAACAATGTCTAAGGGCAAGTGTTTCAATGTCTTTGATATGAACACGTTTCAAATTGCGTCTCTTATCAAGTGCTTGGTACCGTGCATGAGAAACATGAATGCTAACCGAGGGTATTTCTAGGTCTTTTCAGCTTTTTTCTCTTCGCGGTGATCCGCAAAGTATTTTTTCAAGTAACCTTTTCGAACCATATCCTCGATATGATCCCACGGCTGGATACAGTTCTTGGTGTAGTGTCTCGAGGAATCATGGAACTCACACCATCGCTCCTTGTATTTTTGCTAATACCACTGCGGGAGTGGCCTCGGCTTTTTGTATTTTTGCTCGTCTTTCGTCATGCTGTAGATTTTGCACGAGGGAGGGCGAGAGGAGTATAAGTCTCATATCTGCCCATGTGCGGGGTAGATTTGTCCTTTTTCGGCTCGGCGGCTTAAGATGATTCTAAGGCTTTTGCCTTTCCTTTCTTCTAGCCCTAGCCTTCGAACTGATGTTGTATCTGGGTTTTTTCTCTGTTCCACTCCTTGGCTCGGATGAACTTATCTGAGGCATCCAAGGCTTCCTCCAAAGTCTGCGGGGGATGCATGACCATGAAGTCAAGGAACTTGCCAACGTGTAGCCCGTTTTGCAAAGCAAAGACGACTAACCCTTGGTCTAGACTTGTAATTCCGGACGACTCGTTGCTGAAGCGAGTCAGGTAGTCTCGGAGACTCTCGATCTCCCCTTGCTGCAGGCCCATGAGCTCTATAGTTTATTTCTCTTGGTGGTTTTCCATAGAAAACTTGCTTTTGAACTTGGAGGACAGGTCATCCCATCCGGTGATTGAGCCTTTCTTGACCCCCTTGGTGATCCACGCTTTACGCGGCACCTTTGAGAGTGGTGGGAAAGTACTTGCACCAGGTTGCTTCAGACTTGGGGTTCAAATGCATGTGCCCCTCGTAGGAGGCAATATGGTTCTTCGGATCCGAAGTTCCATCGTACGTAATGTCCGACAAGATTATCACCGTCAAAACATGCTCTTCCAAAATCCATTTTTCAAATGGAGAACTAGTGGGAAGCATTACAACATTTCCCTTAGTCCTAGCCGTTGGGACCGCGCTCCGCCCTCTCAGAGAGGTAGAAGTGGTTTTCGTCCTCGACTAGGGAGACTCGGGATGGGGCTCAGTATGATCAGAGTAGGAGAGGCGGCTGTATACACTCAACTCCCTAGAGCCGAGGCGTTCATGGACGCTCCGGCGAGCATACTCTGGCCGAGCTGAGGCAGAGTTACTACTTTTTTGCTGTGATTGTTTTTGATGTTTGATTCTTTGAAGAAATACGAGTTCCTTTTTCTTTCTCCCTCGGTTCTCCAAGTATCCTCTTCCCATTTGTCTCCTAGCTCTTTAAAGGAAGGAGGCTTTCCCATTTGTCTCCAAGTATCCTCTTCCCATTTTTCTTTCTCCCTCTGCTACGGGGGTGAACGATCACGGGGCAGTGGCATGGGATTTTCTTGGGCCTTCATCCGTGCTACCTCTTCCGTTGAGGGCCTCGTTTGAGGGGTCCTTGGATAAGAGTGAGAGTGGATTCTTTGAGGGTGGCTCACTCTTTGCATCCAACCTGCTCTGGTGATGAGAGCTCGTCCGCTGTCGAGAATGACGAGACGGAGACGGAGATGGAGATGGAGATTTCTCCGAGGGTACCCTCTCCAAGATGACTCTCCTCGGGGATGGTCCGCTCGGCGAGGGTGATGGAGATGGTGTGGAAAGTGGACCTTTCCCCGCACCCATTTGGCTTGGGTTTGTCCTCGAGGGAGAAGAACCGGATTTGTTGGCATTGTTACTATTCTTGCGATTCTTAGCCATTGCTAATGGAATTGCGTAGAACGATTGAGATTGGCTTGTTTTTTGAAAGTCTTCCCCACAAACAGCGCCAAATATTTTCGGGTGAAAACAATGGACCTTCGGACAGGTCCTTTCTGATGGGCTGAAAACTGTACTCGGTCCAAGTGATGGCTCGGCTGAGGATTTCCTGCACAGCAAACACACGTAAACTTGCCTCGGTGATTGTGCCGAGGAAGGCATCTCCAATGCCGAAGTCAGTACGATGATTTTAAAGAGAGAAAGTTATGCAAGAGTATTAATTGCTTGAGGCTCTAAGTGAATGAATGTAGAGAGAGAATATTGAATATTTTTATACCTTGACATTGAGGATAAATTGGCCCTTGGGCCAAGTGGGCTTGCCACGTTGACCAGGCCTTTGACTGACTTGACATGGATGGAGAGTTGGACCTTGACCAGGCCTTTGACTGACTTGACATGGATGGAGAGTTGGACCTTGACCTTGGGTTTTATAATTGAATCATTTATTGACTTGTCTAATTGGAGTAAATTGGACCCAAGAACCAAATTTAAATTCATATAAAGTAGAGACCAAGACACCAAGTTTAAGGGAACCAGAGACGACCAAGTTTAGTAGGGAACCAGTGACCAAGTTATTTATGTTATGAGCTTGGACCTATTTAAATTAATTAACCAAATCAACTACATTAGAGGCCTTTCCCTCTTCACCAAGATTAAAACCCACATAGATCAGTTAATCCATTTACAGATATATGATTGACCAAGGAGTTAAGTCGCTGAGCTTCATAATAGGATAATCGGATATTATAAATTCTTAAATGGACCTGGTTCACACTAATTTATTGTGGACCATTAACATTAGAAAAACTATGGTTGTTTTATTAATAAATAAAAAAGTCACTATAATAAATTGAAGGTCACTATGTTAAAAATAAAAGTCATTTTTGTAATATATAGGCTATAAGAGGTTAATTTTTTTAATGAAATATCTTATGAGGTCGATATAAATAATAAGGTCACTATGTTAAAATTAGGGCTATAATGTCGTACTTCAAGTTCACAATACTATTAAACGTTATACAACTTTTAATAAAGGTTACTATGTTAAAAATAAGGTTATTATGTTAAAAATAAAGGTCACTATGTTCAATATAATGTCAGTTGCGTGTGTATAAACCTCGAGTCCACAATAATATTACTGTGGATCAGGTCCACGCAAGTATTTCTGATCCAATATCCAATCTTTGATCTGATCCAAAATTTCGGATACTTTTGGATCGTCAAAATTATGATCTGAATCTTTATCCGAAATTTGAGATTTGTTACATAAATCCAATATGAAATATCCATAATTGAAAAATCGCATTGGAATTTGACAATCACATATTTTAGCACCAAAAAAGTTATGTACAACAACCACATATTTCAATACTAAAAAATTTGGTAAAAAATAAAAATAAAAATTGATTTTTGTACAATAATAATAAAAAATATAAAAAAAAAAAAAAAAAAAGGTGATTTTCTTAGTATTATTTGTGTTTTAAAGGAATCGGAGACCAAGTTTAATAAATCCATATAAATTAGAAACCAAATTGAATAAAGAACCAGAGACGTACGAATTTAAAATTTTAAATCCATAAAGCAGTGACCACGATTAAGGGAAGAACAAGTTTAAATCCATACAAAGTAGTGACCAAGTTTATAAAGTGAACCAGAGACCAAGTTTATAAAGTGAACCAGAGACCAAGTTTAAATCAATAGAAAGTAGAGACCAAGTGTATTAAGGGAATCAGAGACCAAGTTTAAATCAATAGAAAGTAGAGACCAAGTGTATTAAGGGAATCAGAGACCAAGTTCGTTATGTCATGAGCTTGGACCAAGTTAAGTTAATTAATTAATCAAGTCAACTAAGTTAGAGTTGCCCTCTCTGTCACCAAATGAAAACCCAGTAAGTTAATCCATCTACACATATACGGGTAGAAGTGTCCAAACCTAAACCAACCGATAGTGATGGATCCAGAATAAATATTTAATGGGGTCAAAATGCGTTTGATAAACTTTTAATGGGTAATATGATTAATTTCTATGGAAGAAAAAAGTTAATTTTTTTTAAACAAAAGTTAATTTTATAGGATAAAAAATTCTTTTTTAATGTTCAAGTGGGATCAAGGGACCCCACTTACTTATACTTGCATCTGCCACTACAACCGACCTGATCCGAAATTGACCCAAAAAAAAACAATTTAGATTTCGACTCGCATTGAAACAATAATTTAGTATGATGCTTGACGTAAGGTTGAAATCAGACTCGACCCGTTCCAACCTCATCGAACCCGACCTGTACATCTGAATTGACACCCGCAGATATATATGATTGACTATGGGATTAATTCGATGTGCCTAATTTGAGGTATTTACCATATCTCACATACATAACCACCAAAATATATGATTTTGGTAAACATCAGATAAATTTGCACAAAAAAAGCTATGTACAAAA